TGGACAGGGTTCATGGACGGATTGAACTTCATCATACACACACAACTGATGCTCAGATTGTCAGATTTTCATGTGGCTCCAGCCTGCAAAGTTTTCCTTTTGCTAAAATGTTTGTCTCATCTTACATGGGCTTTTCTTGTGTTGAGGTGTTTTTTTTTTTTTATGTCAAACTGTTTCCTTTCAAGGATAAAGTTTAAAATATGTTTTTTTTTCCTCTCCCTCCCCAATGTGGCTACTATCTTTCCACAGAGATAAAGGCAGCGCTATAAGGCAAGAGCCGCACGGTGGGGCCCCTGGCAGCCGTAAGAACGCACAAATGGCCATATGGCCTCAATAAATCTTTAATATAAAAAATGTTTTAGTTCTTGATAACCCTGTTTTAGACAATTAACATTAATCAATGTCATTCCTCTGTCTGTATATTCCAATAGGTTTACCTGGTGGAGGGTTTTGTTTTTATTTATGTTCAGGTGGTTGATGTTAACTAGTCTCTTTTGTGTGTATTTGGTTGATTAATTTATTGTTGTTTGTCAAACTTGTCTGAAATAAATTCCTATTCCTTCATTCATGATAGCTGTTTGTTGTTACTCTGAGGCAGGGGTGTGGCCAGGAATTTGTGGCCCAATAAAAATAAATGGATATTGCCCCCCCACCCGCACAACATGCAAGCTTTAAAACTGCTATAAAGATTCACTGAAGAGTGTCATTTACATTGTCAATGTAATTTTCATTGTACAAAAGAAAATTATCACAATGTGAAAAAGTTATATAAACATTAACTTTAAACTTTACATTAAAAATACCATAAAAATAATAACATCTTATTTAAAACAAAGAGCACAGTTGCATCTATGTACACATGAATAGAAAATAGGTTTTGGATTGAGAAAATATATTCCTGTTACGTTTCACTATAACTTTATTAAAGGAAAGGTTATTTTTATGCTGGCCCTGACTAATTTTTCATTAATTAATGCATGTATTTCTGTTGTGGCTGCTTCAGGCTCATTTACAACATTTTTTTTTTATTTTAAATTTTTATTTTATATATGTACCCCACATGGTCCACTATCTAGTCCACTATCTGGCATCTCAGGAGTTGGAAGCAGTACAGTACCAACGCTGTTTATAGTGGGGGTGGTGTTCTGCTGTCCTCGACTCGGGACGTCGTGTGTTGTGGACGGAGTACTTCGAAGACCTTCTTTATTCCCCAGCAACACGTCTTCCAGTGAGGAAGCAGAGCCTGGGGATTCTGGGTCGGGTTCTCCAATCTACTGGTGCTGAGGTCCTTAAGGTGGTTAAAAAGCTCCTCAATGGCAAGGTCCTGGGGGTGGATGAGATTCTCCCGAAGGTTGGTGTACACGACTCTGCTACATTACTTGGACATTGGGGGCAGTTCCTCTGGATTTGCACACTTGGGTGCTGGTCCCCTTATTAAAAAAGGGGGACCAGAGGGTGTGTTCCAACTAAATAGCAATCACACTCTTGAATCCTTGACTCCAGTCTGTATGCTGTCGTTCCAGTGTTTGTCTGATTCGGTGGAGGGCGGAACAGGGTTTACCCAGAATGCGGTTGTTTGTAGGTGAACGGAGAAACTGACTGCCACTCAGATTTCCTGCGGTACTTGAACGGGTCGTAATGGAGATGAATCCCTTTCTCAGTGTGAAGCTCAAGCAAATCTCTTGGGGAAAGTGGATCCAAACCTCCTGTTTGAACCCCAGCTCAGTTGATCCTTCCAGGGAGAGAAGGTCAGAAAAATCCAGTTTTCAGGATGACTTCCTGCCGAGAGGCAAAAGACAAACAATGTTAAAACTCAGGTTGACAATAACTCAGTTTAACTCAGCAAAACTCAGCTTGGCTAGAGTACCCAAAACTGGCAAACACTCTGGCGTCGAGGTAGTGTCAGTCAGCAGCTTAAGAACGCTCCGTTAACGAGGAAACCATCAGCAGGTGTGTGAGGAGGCGGACCAGAACCAGGCGCCTCCTGGTGGATGAAGGGAGACAAACACAGAAACACAAACACACAGACAGGAGTCTTGAATTGACCATGATTAGTTCACGAATCACTCTTTTATTCATTGTTCTAACACACAGCTAATAGGGCGTGTTTCATAAACGGTATATATTAGCCGAATCTTCTTATTAAATATCTTATTAAATTAGATATTTTAGCCAAAAGGAGAATGGTATTTGGGGTGGAATCATCAGTGTCAACGGCAGCCGTATATTGCCGTTTTCTCTTCCACCTTGCCGGAGCGCCACCCAGGCTGATCAAACATTGTAGATTCTCTTCTGCAGTCATTTGAAGACTTCAATCTAGGCAGAAAATCCAAAGACCAAGAGCAAGACATTGTTAAATATCCACATTTGCTAAGGAAGAAAAACAAAAAAAACAAAAAAACTTATACTTCAGAATAAAACTTTTTTATCATATCCTTCTACAACTTGTATCATTAAATAATAACAGCAATAATAATATTGGGTTTAGGAATGTTACCTTACAAGTATGTTACCTATTGTAATGGGTGCATGTATGGGAAACAGTGGAATGAACAACCAAAGGCCTCTGTAAACAAATGTTCCTTTAGCCAATTCCATCAATGTATATGACACAAAAACGTGTTGCATTTTTGCTACATAGCATTCTGGCATTAATGAGTTAACCACTGATTGTACACAAGGTTTAAAAAAAAACTTTACCTACCACAGGGTGACACAGATCCCATATTGATTTTCTTGTTTAGGGCCAGGGAAGAGGTCGCAAAGGTCTTCAGCCACAATACTGTACACAATACACAATAAAGACTTTAGCTCCCATTCTACTTTGAGAAATTCTAGGAACCACTAGTAAACCTGCAGATTGAGAGCGAAGTGCTCTGTTAGGAACATAAGGAACAATCAGATCTCTGATATCAGAT